GGCAGTTGACATAAATGAAAATCTCTGTCTTGAAGAACATGCCAAGAAGTATGGAATGGACGAATAAGGAATAAATTACAAATATTATAAAATTGAGAGAAGGAACAAGACCACATAAGCTATAGATGTTTTGAGAAAAAAATGAGAAGTTTAAAGAAAAGGCAATATATGAAGTGTATGAAAATGAAAGAAGGTTATATGCGGTTATATCAGATAAATATATAGGGAAGTATAGTGAACAGTATTGGTATTACTCAGATTTCTTCCTTCCTTTCTTTCTTTTTAAAATCTCCTTTCTTTAGTTAAATCTGACAAGTTACCCAATTGCAACTAGGATTTGTTTTTTCCCCAAATCCATAAATACCTTTGTGAGAAATATTTCTGCATACATTGGCAATTTCTATAATTGTCATTTATAGCCCAAAACTTAATGAGTTGATTTAAAAATGAAGGCTCTAAAAGAAATATGTGATATTTACACAATTGAACTTGACTTTGGACATGAGAAGGCCAAAGAGATTGCAGAAATAAACTGCATGGGATTACATATATAATGTGTTTATGGAAACCAGTGAAAAATGTATCAACTCTCTTTTCTTTGAAACAACTCCAAAATTTCAGTCTGGCCTCTTAAGACAACAGCTCCATATATAGATCCATTTCCTTAAATTAAGATCAGAGAAAAGTTGAGCGTTTGGAGACCTTAATGTTCATAGAATGTCTTGTGATCTTTTTAGACTGATTGATTTCAATGTGAGCAACTCAATACCTACAATAAATGTTTGTAACAGCTTACCACAGTATGGGCCCAGAAGAAATTTGGGCCCATTTCATTTCTCTGCTTGCAAACCAGAGTAGCATTTATACCAACTGTTAACACCCAAAGTAGAATTGCAGGCCCAGCTAAAAGCCCCTAGCCCAAGTATATCTTCCCAGGAAAATCAAAGCACTGCTTGAATCTATGGTGTTAAATTGAGCCACGAAATACACTACAAAAATGTATTTCCAAGAAAACTAAACTTGTTCCTAAGGCATCAAATATTTCAAGGGCCAAGGAAAGGGCACAAGTTAAAGAAAAGGGAAGTAAGAAAGCAGGAATAGGAAAATGAGCAGGAAAAGCAAAAGAAAGAAACTATGTCCATAAAATATTCTTCTTTTTGCTCTTTATTTCCAGAAGCCCATTGACTTTGTAGTTTTCCTTATTATTTCATAATTGTACTCTAGTGGCCCCTCTGAATCCTCTAAGCACAATTTATTATATACAGTGAAATACCTTGTCATCATATCCCATCACATCTGTATTGCATAAGCCTGTAACTCCCTCTTTTTAGACCTATATTTTCCTCCAGTGCCATCCACTGTTCCCTCTAAGGTGCGCGCCTGCGCGGCCGTGCACCTTGCAAGAAAGCCCCACGCAGAGTTTCTATCTGCCGCGCAGAGAAACTCTGTAAAGGAAACGTTTTGCAGGTGGCTACAACTGGATCCGGCAGTGCTGTTGCCTGTTGGAGGAGGAGGAGGC